TTTACTTTGGATTTAAGGAGCGAATAGGGTACTCCTATTCCCTCATGCTATGTCTTTTTCATATTCTATTCCCTTCACTCTCTAATTTATCATTGGTTATTGGGTTTAATCTTGTTAAGAAAATGTGTCTCAAATGGTTCAAATCGAAGTAGTAGGAATAAGAAGAGGAAGTATAATTAATATAATATCTTCTTAAAGTCTTGGTAATTAGAATTGGATTCATATTTCACTTTGTTTTGCTGTTGTTTTCTGTTAAGCATGGCCCGCCTCATTATTTGCTCTTCAAACTTTGTATGTAATTATAGTGAGGCTACACAAACTAGTATATGCACATTTTAACAATGGTACTCACCCTCCTTGTCTCGCAAAACTTGTTCTTTTTTAGGATGGACCACAGTTTTGATCTTGCCTGAGTCACATTAGCACCTCTAACGGGCTTATGATTAAGGGTCTTAAAGGCAGAATCATTTATAGCGTGTTGATGTGATGCAGATGTGGTCAAAATTGTTATCCCGTCTGGACGAGATGGAGGGTGTCTCTAGTTCTTATAGGATATGTGCAAATATGCTAACGGTGGGGCAGATGAAACTTAGGTGTGGTCGAAAATAAAGTCCACACTGGATGAAGGATCCTTATAGGAAGTAACCCTTGGCGGAAATAATTATAACAATAGGGCTTTGTCAATATCATCATGGCCGATTCAACCATATCAGAACATCATATTCCAGTGGCCTGTGATAGTTAATCTCTCTGCATATTATAGATCTATTCATCCATTTGGCAAAAATAGGTGATTGAGGTATAATTTAGCACGGGTAATTAGCCTTTCTGTTCATCGCTACTTACAAGGATATTCTAGATATGGCAAAAAAATATTTTTATTCGTAATAAATGCATTTATCGAAATATACTATGCTAGACTGAAGATAAATCCTTGATTATGATTTTTCGGCAAAACTCGAAAACTCGACAGGAGTTAGAATTTGTGCATGACAGCTACTGTGCAATAGCCGGTCTACGTTGTGACAAGAATTTCAACAGCCTTGGCATATCGAAGTGAAATTGTTTAACGAGTCGAATGACTGCATTTCTGTGAAATTAGGCCAAGCATGCTAAACAATGCGACTGCAGAGCTGCTTTACTGGCTAATTTGGCTGGCAAGACAGGGGTTGCGAGACTCGAGAGAACGTATGGCCATGTCTGGGATCATCAGCTTCCTTGCGAGAATAAAGAGATGTGTCTCATCGCCAGAAGTCTGGCGAGAAGGACGCTTAATTGTAGATTAACCCAAGAGGATTGCCACATGAAGAGAAATTTGGTGTCGATAAATTCCTTAATAACTTCATGTTGTAGCTGTAATTTCATTTGAGAAGGTGGGTGGACGGGATCGTCATGGAGTATTGACCGTTATTTTGTGCGAAGAAGTCTTAGAGGCACTGTCCGGCGACCCGGATGCATCCGTGCTTAGCTTCATCGTTTATGCGGTGGACAATGCCAGAACTGTAAACCAGATTTTGTATTTCATTGCTGTAGTGCTTCGGTGGATTTTCATAGATCATCATTTATTCTTTTGATACTTTCTGTTGCACGGTAGACTAACACTCAGTACGGATGTAACTGAGTCCCTGGAGGGTTTAGCCGAAGACTTCATCAAAAACGGTCAAAATTTCACTTCAATCCTTACTCAGTTTTACGAGAGGCCAGCTTAAGCATCTCGTCTACTCGCCCTTTTAATAGGAATGAAAGGTATGACTATATGGAAAAGAGTATCACATTTGTTCTAGAAGGTAATGCCTTAATGAAACCAGCCGTCTCAGCTTCCAGACCCGAATTCCAGAGTCATTGCGTGTCATTTTAACCTACTTGCATGTCATTAAGGTGAAACCTTGATGATATCGTCAGATTATCCAGAGCAATTGCGGGTTTCTGAGTATATTCTGAGATAAGATTGATGTCAAGGCTTTCGTTTCGAAAGAAAGTACGTCGGTCGATCTCAACAGAAAATGTCGGTTGCCAAACGGCTGCAGTACAACGCGAATCAACCAACATCTTCCGGTGAGATTGACCTACGAATATCTCACCATGTGCTTCCATACGAAATGAAAGTCTTGACATCCGATTGTCAAGTCTGAGTTGAAAGACAGAAAGAGGCCTTAAGTCCGATTCCTCAAACCCAGTTAACTCGTGACGAAATGTAATTTCAATATTTTGTCTAGCTTTTTCTACTCCCCCTTTCTTCATCCCATCTCACTACTTCTAAACATAAGTTGACTCCATGCCTGCCGGAGTGCGCCGATGGACGGATTGGGAGAGGTCGCATGTGCAAGCAGCCATTGCCATGGCGGAAGGCTGGACAGAGTCGGCAGAACTGGCTTGGGAGGGTCTGTTGAAAAGGGCTCCGCAAGACCTCTTGTCGGCCAGCTCGCTCTTTCTCTCCAACCTGCTCAGTGGCCAATTCACGCGCTTGTACGCCAATATGGACAAGGCTGCCAGTGGCTGTCGCTCTAGCAATCCGTACTATCCGTACTTCCTAACAAGACGTGTAAAATTATATTTATTTACTTAACTTGTCTTTTTTGTAGCCCCTCTTCATACCGGTGCCGTTACGCCTCTTATTTCTCATTTAGACAATTTTAGTTATCTCCTACTCGACGCTACAGTTGTTATATATGCACAACCATATCTACGTGACTCTATTTTGCCGTAGATGCTCGTAACGAGCCATGGCAGCAGGCTTAACGTAGGCAGCATAACAAAAACCCTGGTCAGTGTAGGTTCAACTAGGCCTGAAGAGTCGTCGTCTGAAGGGTGCTAAGCGGCTAGCATGCATGGGACCAGCCCAGATATTGTTGTACTTGTCACATGTTAGAAACTGTGCCTAAAAGGGCGTCAATTAAACTGTCGTATTTCAACTGACAAATTTGTCTAAATATTAGAGTGATCACAACAGGCTTTAAAGTTCGCCAATCTACCAAATTGTAAATTTTTCAGGCTTTCGGTGGCTGCGAGATTGGCGCATACGCGGCCGCCGAGCAAGACTGCGCTGAAGCCTTTACCATTTGCCCGTCGGATCCTATGGGCGCGCATGCCATGGCACATTTGTACGAGTACACCTACCGTCCCGACTTGGGCGCCGAACTGTTCGCCAGCCAGCGTGAGGGCTCCATGTTCGGTTCTCGGCGCACCGAATGGCTGAGCTGCGGCCCACTCTATGCTTGCCACATTGCCTGGCACGAGTCAATGTTCTACTCTGCTTTGGGAGACTGGAGCAAGGCTCTGGAAATCTGGGACGCCAACATTTGGCCGCATTGCGTCCTCTACAAAGAGGATTGCTCGAAGCGTCGTGTTGGTCGCTTTGAGCTGAGCGACACAGCAGGATTGCTTTTCAGGTAAGGTTGCCATCATGGCTGTCTATTCCATGCAGTGACCGTTTGGTTCAATCGGAGCGCAGCCAGACGGCATGAGCGAAATTAAACTATAAATTGAATAAAAGTTATTGTTCGTTTATAAGTAGGCTTTCGAGACGATCAGTAGATCATATATGTGAGATTTATTCATCCGATTAAGGTGAATAGGAGACTGGTAGTTGAATTTTGCCATAGTGATATGAGTAGAACTGACGTTCCATTTGAATTTCACATAGCCTTGCTTCCTAAATGCTATTTCGACTTCGCCCAGGCCTTATCAACGCCCCAGCGGGACTCGAACCATGACAGTTCAGCGTATGATCTCGACAAGTCGACCACTACACCACATTGCCACGAGTGCCCTTGAGTCGCAGGGCAGATGCAAATTTCAAGGAAGGCCAGGCATTTTCCCATAGCCTATTTTGTGATGGGATTGTCGATGAAGCAATGTTGTATTTGCTATAGCAATCGACTACACTTCAAATATAACTTATATACTGGTAGTCTCGACAATCCTACTTGGAAACGAAACATAAGTAACATAGTCGATTGCTATAGTAAACGCAACTTTGCTGTATCGAAAATCCCACCAGAGAATATGATATGGGAAAACGCCTGGCCTTCCTTGAAATTTGCATCTGTCCTGTGACCCAATTGCATTCATGGCTGTGTCGTAGTGGTTTACGTATCAACAATATACTCTGCACTGACATGGTTCGAGTTCCGCTGTGGGGATTGATAAAACCTGGGTGAGGTCGAAACTGCCGTCCACTCTGGAGGAGAATAGCATTTGGCATAGCAAAGCTATTGGAAATTAATTGAAACGTCATGTCTACTCATATCACTGGAAAAATTCAAATAACAGTCCCCTTATCACCTTAAACGAAATAGGATGAAAACATCTCATATGTATAGAAGTTGCTCGTTCTTGTCTTTGCAACGAACCTTCTCCTGAGTACATGGGTCACATAATAATTCCCAGAGTAGGTCCAGGGACTTGGTACATTTTCAGACATTTCGCAGACATCTTCCGTGGGCCTTGCCATATTTGTCACTACACTTTAACTCGTCAAAGAGACAAGTGAACTCGATCCTTTCACCAATTGTCAGCTAAATGGTTATGGTATCTCTCCTCTCCTAATTCAGTGAAGGCCATACCATGTTGGTCTCTAATACTTTCGATTAAACTCGAAAATATGAGATGTATTCACCATATTTCGTTAAGGTAATGGAGGACTGGTAGATTAGTGTTCTCACAATGATATGAATAGACCTTAGGTTTCCCTTGAATTTGATATAGCCTTGCTTGAAAAAAGGTATTCTTATCCACGAAGGAGTGGATTACAGTTTCAACCTCGCGTATGTATCAACGGCACCCACTGCGGGACTCGAGCCATAACAGTGTAGCGTCTAACCTCTACACGTTAACCATTAATCCACATTGTCAAGAATGCCCTTGGGTCACAGGACAGATATGATTTCAGGGAGGGCCAGGCATTTTCCCATATCACATTCTTTGGCGAGATTGTCGATAAAGCAAAGTTTTATTTGAAGGTATGAAGACCAAGATGGTGTGGCCTTTTGTGTGGTCACAGTCTCCTTTCGTTGTATAAAAGTTGTTTGACCTTGTTTTCGCAACTCGGTCATATTGGTAGGGAGACTTAGAGGAACGCCCCTAGTCCGGAGTTCATTGTATACATAATCATTTCCAGAGTAGAACCGTGGACGTGGTACATTCCCACACGTTTCACCGGCATTGTAGTCGGCATCGTTAGTGAGTCTCGCCATTCCTAGCACCATATTACAACTCGCCAAAGAGACAAGTCATATATTTGCTATGACAATCGATTACATTATTTATTTTGGAAAAACAAGGATATGTGAAATACACCGTAAACGTCAGCTCTACTCATATCATTGTAGTAAAATTCAATAACCGATCCGACACCACTTTAGATGAAATAGTGTAAATACATCTCATATAACTGACCTGGTAGCCTTAAAACCCTACTTAGAAACCAAAAACAAGTCTAGATTATTCCCTTTAAATAAGTTTTAAGGTGGAAGAGGGTCTATATAAAGTATGGTCTGAAGTAGTTGTACCAGGTAAAGTGCCCTCTGAATGCGAATAAACGAATATAATTCTTTTAATCACAACTTGAAACTCTCGAAAAGAAGGCATGATCTAGGACAGTATTGACCTCCTGTGACATGACTTTCCATTTCAAAGGAAAAGTTGGTTGGAAGGAATTCGTGATGCGGTATCACCGGAAACCAAAGTAGGATTGCCGCATATGGAAGAAGTCCTTGGCTCACCATCCCGCGGCTCGATGAACCAATGATAAGTTTTCGTCGGTACTGTGACAGACATCATCAGAGCAATAATACATACTTTACGAAACAGAGCAAAAATGCACTAAACCAAGAGAAAAGGTGGCCGGTTGAAACCCTGGTCGCAATTTTTATACGCCTAACTTCGTGATCGTAATGAGGCATCCGAAGCTTTGGTTAACTACTTCAAATTGATTCTACATACTTTCAAATAAGTGAAGTTACTTCCCGAAACTGAAGTGCGTTCGTTGGTAGCTGGTTCCTTACACAAATAAACTAGCTCCCGATACCCTATTATTTAATCATGTTTTGGGTTCGTGTTTATTGTCTATTGTGCGTAATGTACTGAGAGGGACTCAGAAGTGTTGTCTAATTATCTGTTCACCCAAAGTATTATTATCAGTTTAAATAAAGTGACGACTAATCTTAATGACTAATTGTCTAAAACTTAAATCTGTATTTGACCTGCTTAATCCCGATCCCAGTTATTCATATCTTTCAGACCTTAGTTTCTCATTAAAAATAATTTCACATCCTCTACTTCTATCACAAAATATGTTTATGGAGAAAATTCAAATAAAAACCTGCGTTCTTGGGCTTACTATGCACACCTCTACCTTGAATTTACCCTTCTTTACTAATTATGGCATCCAAAAATGGTTATCTACTATCCTTTTCTAACTCCAGCATGCTTTCAGTACTCCCATCTATTAGATTGATTAACTTAAAGAATTATTCGAACCCCCATTTTCACGCTCTGCTAAACGGCAAAGTAGTCGTCAGCTTTGGAAGTGATCTGACTTCGCTTTTGCAATTTAGTCGTGTTGTCAGGGTGACCCAGATTGACGCACCCTGTCCGAAGTTCTTTGCTATAGTACTTATGATAACTCCCAGCGTCGAACCGGGGAATCGGTACATTCCCAGACGTTTCACCGGCATTATAGTTGGCATGGTCAGGGAGTCTTGCCATTATTAAGACCACGCTACAACGCGTCAGAGACAAGTAAAGTCAATCCATAGACCAACTTTCTGTCAAAAGGTCGTGTTATCACTTCTTCCGTATTGGTACATTAACCTACTTTCTCCCTATCACAATTTCGGACTTGTTTATGCTTCACACTTCTAGAAGTGTGTTCTTCTTGGCGAGCGGGGCGTTATCATACATGCTTGTTTACCTTGCGCCCCCTTCCCTCTTGATTTGCCGGAATTGTTGATCCGATTTAGGCCTCCCATCGGAATCTTCTTCATGGCCACGGAGATTAATTTTTTATCTTACTGGTTGGTTGATTTAATTAGATTCCAGTCGCTATTGCCCCTAGTTATTTGACTATATTTTTGCAACTTGGTTGTAGTGCCAGTGCGACCTAGGAGGACGCTATTTATCAGTCTCTCAAAAGCTTTTGCTAACACCTATACTGCGGCCTCATTGAGCAGAGCGCCTAAGCTCTGATTCCCAAGCTTGCAGATATCAGTTATGGTCTCCATGACCCCTCTTAATGATTAAATTTGTATACTCTGAGTAAGTGGGGAATGTTTATCTCTGGTCTCCTGTTGCCTATCGAATGTATTTCTAGTCAATTTGGCTCCGACGTACTAATCATAATGTCAAATTCCAGTGAAGGTCTTGATCGTCCATACTTCCATTCCTGTGATCGTAAGGCGACCAAAGTTGTAGCTGTTTTGTCGAGAAGATTACACTCATTAAAAACGTCTTCTCTTGATTTTTGAATCCTCTTCATGCGTTTCATCTTTGTGATTGCTTTTCTGCTGGTTAACTATAGGTCCTTGATTGTAATTAATTAGGGCAGTACAAGTTCTTCGAAGATATGAAGACCAAGATGGTGTGGCCTTTTGTGTGGTCGCAGTCTCCTTTCGTTGTATA